GTTTCATAAATATATTTTTATTTCAAATTTATGTTTATGTTTCATTGCAGTCGTACTTTTGTGTTTATTGTGCCGAATAAACCGTGGGGTCAGCAGCATGAACTTTGTACGTTGTCCGTAAACTATCTCACCCCTTTTGGTAGTCACTGTCGTTCAACCGAGCGCGTGCGCATTTGAACATTACAGTAGATATGATAGTAAGAAAGCTTTTCGGTACTTGAATATCATTTCTTTGAACTTTCAAACAAGTTTATTTCAACATATGTCTGTGTATGTTGTTTCAGAATAGAGACAAAACTAACTGCCACTACTAACGAATGTATGTAACAGTTTATAGTACAGGTGGTTTCAATAAACACCTCCTGAGCCTGACCCCTTGTTACTTGATACATCCTGTTAGAAGAGATTACCAAACGATACAGACACCATAAATTACAAAGAAAATTACTTTACAGCACTTAAAAGATTAGTCCTGGTCACATTCCTCTCATTATAGGCAAGATTTATGTTGGAATGCGAAACTAAAGCTCTTCAAAGTATTGAGACCCCAACTGTGAGAATGTCATAGCTTCCCTGTATTATTGAGATGAATGTATTTAGCCTGTTTCACAACCAACATATGGGTTTTATTGTTGTCACTTGTACACTGAGTGTGAACCATTTGCAAAATATCGGAATAAACTAAATATATATATCAGTTAGACTGTTTTAATTCTAACGCAATAACAACAGAAGTGTGGGTCTTACTACAAAGCAAAGATTGTAAGACAGAAAAATATAAAATTCTTATGTGGTACTTGTATCAGCAGTATTACGTTTATCATTCTAAATACTGAATCATATTATTATTATTATGAACTAAATATAAAATTATGCTAAATTATTGAACTTAAAACTACAAATTTTAATTCAAAAGAATATAAAAAATCACAAACTCTTTCAGTTCAAAGTCCTAAGTCTAATTCATGTAAAGACTTTGCACTCGCCACTCGATAACTCTTAACCCTAACAATCGTGGATCAACATCTTTCCTAAAAATATATATATATTTTGAGTTAATTTTTCAATATAATGATTAATATAAACAGTTAAGTCATGCTGCATGGTATATGGCTACTATATAAGAAAATAAAAGTCACGTATATCCCATGCAGTTTTTCCAGAAGCAACTTTTCTAACGCTTACAGAAAAGCCCTATTGGCCAGTACTAAATACAACCTCTACATAAAAT